CCGACCACCTGGCCCGTTATGAGTTTCATGTTTCCCGACCACCCGTTATGAATTTCACGTTTCCCGACCACCTGGCCCGTTATGAATTTCATGTTTCCCGCCCTCCTTATGAATTTCACGTTTCCCGACCACCTGGCCCGTTATGAATTTCATGTTTCCCGACCACCTCCCCCGTTATGAATTTCACGTTTCCCGACAACCTCCCCCGTTATGATTTTCACGTTTCCCGACCACCTGGCCCGTTATGAATTTCATGTTTCCCGACCACCTCCGCCGTCATGAATTTCATGTTTCCCGACCACCTGGCCCGTTATGAATTTCATGTTTCCCGCCCACCTGCCCCCGTCATGAAGTTCATGTTTCCCGACCACCTGGCCCGTTATGAATTTCTTTTCCGACCTCCTGGCCCGTTATGACTTCGACGACGATCTTTTTGGACCGCTGTCCTTGCTTTTGGTTTCTCTTTTCTCTATACCAGCTTTGATAATTTGTGTGAAGGTTTTTCCTTGCGGACTGCCCCAGTTGCATGTTTCCAAACTATACCCGGCCCGTTATGAAATTCCAGAGGACCTTTTCCCTTTGTCAGTTATAGTCGTTCAACCCGAATCAAACATATTTATTATGCTGTGGCGCTAATCGGCTTGTTCTAATGGACTTTGTTTGCATCAGCGCGTGCAATGCACTTCAGCTTTGGCGCCAACCGCCCCGTCGCCACTTTTATGTTTCTGGACTGTTCTGGCCCCCGAACCGCTAGCCGCTAGCATTTTAAGGCTCTGCATCTTTTTGACAACGTTATTTTCCTTGAGGAAACCTTCCAAAAGAATGCGGCCTCGCACACAAGCGACAACATTCCAAGCCAGTTGGCCGTGGGTATATGATGTGGCCAAGCCAGACCATATAGTCGAACTATGTGGCCGAGATTTCCACTATAGCCCATACGTCCTCTTAACATCTGTTGGCACCCCTCTCCACCGGTTTGCTCGCGCCTTCGAAAGAGGTCCTGCTGCGTCTTCTTCTCCAATCAACACGCGGAAAGGATCTCTGCGCGGGCGACCCCTAGGTCGTGGTTCTTGCTGCCACATCCACTCGTGAGAGTTAGCATCAGTTTGTTTGTCTTCAACACGAGGAGTTACGCACCATCGTTGTCGAACAATGACAAGGACGATGAGGAGAGATCAGGCCCATTTGGCGGGCCAGGGGCGCTGCCACTGACATTGGCAGATTCTCTAGCTTCCACAGGCCGATCACGTCAACGTTCAAAAAGAGACAAAAGTGAATCATCTTCCATAGCACTAGCGACTACTAGGATTTGGTGGCCTCAACAAACAATACTGCACATGTCCTGGTTCAATCTTCACTCTACTCTACGCGTGGCCTAAAAGTTCCAATTACGGACCTTTAGTGAGAAAGAAATTGGAGACCGTAAATTACTGTTTCCTTCATATTTTGGTAGGGCCCGTTAAGGACTAGGAGAGGTAGGCCAGGCGCAGGGAAGCATCTATATAAGTGGGCTACCTTGCTGCTGGGAAAATGTTCTTGCCCGTTGTTGCTTTCATGTTTAACTCGTTGGTCTGCAGTCGATCTTTGAACTGCCAACCTCTGCAGTCGATTGAAAAAAGTCCCTTGCATGCCTCTCGCACACCTCGGCAACCTAAATTAGAAGGATGCTTGAAGAAGCCAAAAGTCAAAGGCCACATGTCCAGGCCCAACAAACAATAGTCAGCAGTGAACCCATACCCTAACGACAAACACCTATTGCAGAGCTGTCTGTCACGCGCACTTCAGCCTCATTGAACATTTCCATGAATGTTGGGGCATAGGTGTGGATACGCTGGCCTCAGCAAGCAGGCAAGTAAGAAGGTTTGCTGTTTTGAGGCGCATCTTTTTATAGGAAAAGGCCTCCTCAAGACATGCACTGTTTGATCCGAATTGGGTGGCCTGAAATGAGCGGCAAACGTCTTTCAAGGGGCCTTGTCTCTAGCCTCCGTCAGCTGTAGTGGACGCTGAAAAGCATGTCACACGTCGTGTCTCTAAACTGTTTTAGAATTACAACGATGTTTGCTCGCAGCCTACGCCTTCAATCAGCCTTCAGCCTGACCTACTTGCAAGAGGTGTGAACATGAACGGTGCTACGCTGTTTCCGACGCTTCAAGTCTGCGCAAGATTTGCTGGCTCTGGCACTGGCGCACGGGCCTGACCAGCGCTCCCCACAACAGGCCTTCAAGAGGCCACGCCCAGCCTGCAAATCATATCGCTTGCGGGTCACATCCGGCAACGAACCACCAAACCAGAAAACAAACCAGGAGAGGTTGAAAGGGCTTAAAAACGAAAGGTGTCACAAGTCCTTTCAACTCGTCCTGGAATTTGAATAAAGGTTCAATGGCCTGGTGGGTCCCTGGCAATGGTACTTTTGGGACCTACAGAATATGAGTCACTATGTCCCTAATTGGTAACCTTCGCTGCTTTGCTTGGTGTTCAGGCACTCTCAAAGACTCAAAGAGGACACCCTTTGGCCAACCTAACTGTACCTTTACACGCGTCGAAGCCTTGTTAAACAATTTGACTTGAAGTCAGAAGGTGGGAGATCAGAGATCGCCCTTTGGCGCGCCTCGAAGTCTGAAAGGAAAGGAAAGGTACAGTAGGAGTCGGGGCCTCGCCACACACGACACACGCTGTTACCAATACGTCACTTGTCGGACTTGCACACCAAAAATTCAAGGGAGCCGTGGCAAATTCATCTCCTGTCCGCCAACAAAGCTTGAGAGGAGCAAGATTGAAACAGAACAGGCTTGGGGCCCAGGGCCCAGGCCCAAGCAACATTGAGCCAGCCATCCGCCACGATGCAGCATTGCGCACCAGCTGCTACTACCTACCACCCGGCAAAGCAAAACAACAGCAAAACCTGTCATGAGTTTCACTGCTGACCCAAGACCCCATCTAAATGCAGATTTCAGAAGAACACCAGTGGCCTGCCAAGTGCCCTCCCCGCCCTAGCTTCATAGTCCCGTTCCAGTTGTTCCTCCTCGTCGAAATCGAAAATTTCGCTGCAAGTCTCACTTGGGGGGTTGAAACCAACAACGTCAACATAACCCAAGTCTTCACTTTCACCTTTGCTCTTTTTCGGCTTCGCGTTTTTGGAAGCAGGGCGCCCCAGGGCGGGGTTCGCTATTTTGGCAGCTTTGGCCTTGGGAGATCTCTTCTGCTGTGGGGTCTTGGCCTTCGATGACGATATCTTTGCACTGGGTTTCTTCGCCGGCTGCTTTGACGCTGGCTTTTTCATGGCGTCTGTTCTGTACAGGTCACATCAAAATACTGCGGGCGAAAGTCTTGTCTTGAATCACCGCATCAAAACCCTTTAGTTGCGTGAGCTGAGAACATTTGTGTCGCTGGAACACGTCTTGCACTAACGGACTAAATGTCTGGGTCCATCAGAGAATATGCGAGTTCGAAGGCGAATTCGAAGGATGTGTGTGTGTGTGTGTCTAGTGTTTCAAGAAGCAGGTTCTGCAAGGTGCCAACACCGAAGTGGAGCAAGTCTGTTGGTAGTTGCAAGGGACTAAAACCCTCGAAAACCATTGACGCCTGACTGAACTTCACCAGGCTTTGCTGCATTGAGCCCGTCCAGAACATAGGACTTCGCGTTTCGCATCAGTTTTTCCCGAATGCGTAGCGAAGGGTTCTCGTTTAACTCATGGGGGTCTGGTGGTATAGCCTTGTTCGCAACCCGTTGTCTCAGTGTTCGCAACTGTTGTCAACGGTTGTGTTTTTGTTTCTGGTTCCCCTTGTGCACTCATACGCAAGCCTTCTGTTTACTCTGCCTCTCCTAAAACTCTGTCTCCTCCTTTTCTTCTGCCTCAGCCACTCTTTTCAAAAAGCTTGTTGAAATTGATCAAGTTTAATATCCTTTTAACATAATGATTTTTGATTTAATTTTCAATTGGCAAGAGACTGAATTTAATCAGTTTAACTCTAATTGGCAATTCGACTTTTAACTGTTAACTTTTGGTTGGACTTTGGCATGGACTTTGAAGTTTTGGTTGGACTTTGGTTTGGACTTTGAACTTTTGGTTGGACTTTGGATTGGACTTTGAACTTTTGGTTGGACTTTGGCTTGGA